CCCTGGGTGCGAAAGTTGACATTGCGAAAGTGCTGCGCCTGCCACGAAATCTGTACTTGACCTGTTGAAAGTGTTGCGCCTGCCACGAATTTGGCACTTGACCTTGCGAAAGTGCTGCGCCTGCCACGAAATCTGTACTTGACCTCGCGAAAGTGCTGCGCCTGCCACGAATTTGGCACTTGACCTTGCGAAAGTGCTGCGCTTGCCACGAAATCTACACTTGACCTTGCGAAAGTGCTGCGCCTGCCTGGAAATCTGAACCTGACCTTTTGAAAGTGCTGCGCCTGCCACAAAATCTGCACCCGACCTCACCAAAATGCTGCGCCTGCCACGCAGTTCAATCCTTGCGAAACCTCTGCGTTGCCGTGCCAATGGTCCCGGCGCCGAGCCCGCTCCGAGACCGCTCCGAGCCCGCTCCGACCAGACGCCACGGACAGGCTAGCTTTCGCGCCTCCGGAGACGCCAATTCACGCGCAGGGCCGACTTTCTCATCTCCGAAAACGCCGAATGATTCACGCACAGGGCCACGCTTTTTACGACTTTCTCTTCGCCTGCCACACGCGCGCGCAGGTTTTTTTCGCGGGCTTATTCCTTCTCTTGTATCTTGTCTCAGAGAGCTGGCTTTCAATTCGTTGTCGTAACACGGAAGTTCCTTCTAAACTTCCTTTGACTACCACATACATCATTCTGAGTCTGTAATCAGTGCTAGCCGAATCATACCCGCGAATCATACCCGAATCGTACCCGGACAATGAGCTTTCCCTGCCAAGGCTAGCGCTAAGTCTTTCTCACAGCGTCCGCACCACTACAGCCGCTGCTGCTTGTGCTACAGCTGCTACCACTAATTCTGCCACTGCTACTACTACTACTACTACTACCACTACTACTACTACTACTACTACTACTACTACTACCACAGCTACTACGAGTTTGTAATCAGTGCCGTTTTGCACTTAGCCGAATCATTCCCGCGAATCATACCCGAATCATACCCGCGCAATGAACTTGCCTTGCCAAGGCCAGCGCCAAGTCTTTTCAAAGCTTCCGCGCCACTACAGTCGCTGCTTCTACTGTTACTACTACTACTACTACTACTACTACTACTACCACGATTACTAGTACTACTACTACCACGATTACTAGTACTACAACTACTACTACTACTACTACTACTAGGACTAATGCTACTACTATTTACTACTACTCCTACTACTGCTACTACTACTACTGCAACAACAACAACAACTACTACTACTAATACTACCAACTACTACTACTACTACTACTACTACTACTACTATTGTTACTACTACAATATTATTACTAGTACTACTACTTCGGCGACTACTTCTTCTACTACTACTACTACTACTGCTGCTGCTGCTGCTGCTGCTGCTTCCGCGAATCATACCCCCGAATCATACCCCGAATCATACCCGCGAATCATACCTGCGAATCATACCCCGTACTCTTCCTGCCCGGCCACCCTAAAAAAATACAAACCCATATTTATGTATGTGTATTTATGTATGTGTATGTATGTATTGTTAAACTTGGAGCACCTGTATAACCTGAATACCTGATGTGTCAACCTGTGAGTGTATCAAACGGCAGTGTAGCACTCCTTTTGTCTGGGCGCGATGCTGTAGGCTCAAGGCCTTGATGTGTGCATATGCAGCAGGCGCTACATGTACTGCAAGCTGCGCAAGGGTGGTCAAGGCATGTTGTGTATTATCACGCCTCCTCAGACTGTAGTGTGTAAATGATTGCCAGATATGCAGATGTACTGCGCAACTCATGATGTCCGCTGTGCCAGTGTAGCAGATGTATTTTTCTCTGTGATCATTAGATCTTGCTCGGGCGAGCAGCATAATGCGCTGCTGCTCATGGATGTAGTCTAGTGTTAGTGTGACCTTTCTGGCCGGGAATGGCTCCTCCATCCAGTGTGCCCTTGGTTTCGATGCTGTTGGCCTCTTTTGTGTGGAAACATGGCAAACAATTGCAATCTGGTGTTCAGCTGGCAGATGTTTGATGTTGTTGTGACACTCATAATGCACAATGCCTGTGCAACTGTAGCCTACCTGCGACTGTGCTCTGGCCAGCTGGGCCGCTCCTCCAGTTGTTCTCATGTAGATGCCGAGCAGACCATGTTACCAGTGTATTTGAAACATTATGTTTCCGTAACTCAACCTGAACAGTGTTGCAACAGCCTCGAAGGGCGAGCTGCCCAGCACCATGCAGCCCGCCTCGCGGCGTCTGGCCCAGCCATCAGTGTGCTTCAGCTCACCATTTGTAGTCCACGATAAGCACTTTCTCATTGACTGTGCAAGAACAACACGCACCATACTACTTGCAGACAGACCAGGAGGGCTTTCTGACAGCTTTGATTGCAACAGTCGCAAACAAGACTGGCAACATTGCCGCAAGAAACTCCAGCTCACAATCACAAGAAGGAGCAGAGCGAGCACACAGAAGAGTTCCCAAAACTCGAGCCAGGTTCTTGACATGGATCTGGCTTGGCAAGAATACAAGCACACAGGCGAATCCATCAAGGACAGTCAGAAGCCCAACAATTACTGGGCTCTGTGAACGCAGCAGAGGGTAAGAGACACAACAGAGTGAACAACAAGCAAAACAGAATAAGACAACTGAGCCAACAACACGGCTACATCACCAGCACATCAGAAGAGGCCAGCGTTGCCAGCACCGCCGCCTACGTCGCCCACAAGGGAGAGAGATGACACAACTGCAGAGGGCAGCACAGGCAAGCAACAACGCACGACGGGCGCTGGAACAACCTACACAGCAGAACAACGCAAGGACAGTAGATGTGACAGCTTAGTTGAAGAGCATCCTCTTCTTGATCAGTTGTATGGCCACGATCGCCCCAGATTAGGTGTCAAGTGCTGCGAGCAGTGGATGTATGTCGCTATCGTCAAAGTCTTTGCTGCAGCCGAAGTCGAGCTGCGTGCTTGGATGTTTGCTGTGTTGCCTTGGGTGGTTGTTCTGTCTGCCTCTTGCTTTTACACAAATTGGACACAAAGTCTGTAAGGAAGGTGTGTCACATTGTGCTCTAGTATTTGTTGTGGTGTTGGCTGCTTGTGCCTTGTGCCTTTGCTTTTGTGCCTTGTTGCTGTTCCTCATCGTGTGGCAAGATCCTAGGCTTGTCTGATGTCTTTGCTGGCTGTGTTGCCCATTCATCTTTTACAAGTTTTTTATGTTGCTTTTGTCTTCTATTGGTTGTACCTTTGTCTGTTTTAAGGTGTAAGCCGCTTGATGTCTGGCCCGTCATGCGTCTGCTCAGGTATGTAAAATGCTGCGCGTGGCTTGATGTGGCGCTCTTCCAGTAGGGGCCTTCTCTGCACCAGTAGTCTCCTCTAGGATGTACTCCTGAGGGATGTCGTTTGAAAGGATCTCCTTGCCCAACCGGTTGATTGTGTTGCTTGCCTTTTCCTTTGTAGCTGTTGTAATGGTAGTTGTTCCTGTAGCCCCCATGGCCTTTGCTTTTGTTGTACTTTTCTTCGCGCTTGCGCTTGCCCTTCTTTCCCTTGCCTTTGTTGTACCGCGTTGCTCCTGTGTCCATCGGTGCTGTCCCTTGGTTGTTGTGGTTGTTGTTGTTGCCTGATGCGGTTGCTCGTAGCCTCCGGAGTACTCTATTGCCAGGGGGATGTTGTGATGTTTCCTGCCTGCAACTGTAAGTGCTGCTGTAGGGTCAATTTGCCTCATTGAGCAGTATTGCGGTCTTCACTGCGTCTGGTGGTAGTGTGTCGTGGTCTTGTTCGTTCTGACATCAAGTTATGGTGTTAGCAGCCTTGTAAGGAACCCAATGCTCCTTGTACCAAGGGGTATGGAGTACCTGGCATGTGTCAGCCGCTATGTCTCAAAACCGTTGCCTCGCATGTCTTGTCTGCGTATTGTAGATGCGGCCCATCGCGTGTGCTCACTAAGATGTAGTGTAGGTTGTTGCTCAGTTGTGTGCATTGCTTTGCTACTGCCTGGGAAGGCGCTGCGTTCTCAAGTTGATCGTTTCTAACTTGTCCTGCTGATTGCTTTGGCTGTCTCAGCAGTCTGTTGTATGCGGAGTCTTGAAGTTCCAGGTGTGCGTCTTGTACTTCCATTCTCCTAAGGTGCATTCTCCTCTGAATCGTGGTGGTGATTCCTTGTGCTTGTGAATTCCTTCCAGCTGCTGCTGTTGGTCTTGTTGCTGTTGGGCTGCCAGTACTTGTGTGGTGTATGGAAAGGCCGCCAGATCTTTCCCAGGTGTGTAACTGTGTTCACTGCTCCGCTTGCATGTTAAACTTGGAGCAACTGAAAACCTGAATACTTGATGTGTTAACCGGTGGGTGTATCAAGCCGGCAGTGTAGCGCTCCCTTTGTTTGGGCGTGATGCTGTAGCCTCAAGGCCTTGACGTATGCATATGTTGCATGTAAGCTGCGCAAGGTTGTCAGGGACATGTTGTATATTAACATAAAAACTATACATATACGTAGCTCCGGAGCCAGTTGCAATTCTCGTTCTGATGGTCTCAGCGAAATTGCAACCTTATCAAATCTCAGCTATATGTCTAAGGAGTCCAACTCAATGATTTCAGAATTTCTGTAGCTGCCGGTTACTTTGCAATGGCGGCTTTGGACAAAATGTGGTCCCTGCGTGCCGTTTATTTTGCACGGCAAGCGTCAAGGCCTGCAACATAAACACAATAGGTTGGGTGAACTTCGGCAGAATGGATTCCTTTGTGTTTCAGAAGCGTGCTTGCCCTCTCGTTCTGGCAAGTGCCCGGAGAGAATCTTGAATATCAAGAAAGAGCAAGTGAAGGATGCTCCGAGGAACCGTGCCTTTAAGTTCACAGCCAGAACGTGAGAGGTGCAGTCTAGAATTCATGACTGAAGAGTCATTGTGTGTTTTTCAGCCACAAACAGGGGAGAGAGAGAGCAACGTCCTAAAGCTGTTTGGCCAAATTTGGCAGTTTGCGTTTCAGCATGTTTCAGCGACGCACGAGGAGAATCTCGCCGTCCGGGCCCGCCAACAAAGCGCTGGTCCTGGGATCCAACCCGGTGCCGCGCTGAGCATGCCATGCCGTGCCATGCCATGGCGTGCGCCTAGACGGCGTAACAGCGCACGCGAGCACTTAAAACAACAGCGCACCTAGTCCAAACAAGACTCACAGCAGACCCCATACCACAGATGAAAGCCGCCGCCCGCTTGAGTGCACTTTCGCTAATAAGAGAAAACAAACTGGTCATTTATTCAATTGTTTCTGCCCCTTACAAGGAATGAATCCAGGGAAAATGCATTTGCAGTTCTATTGGTTTAGAAGTTGTAAGTCTGCAAGGCCTCAAGTTTAAGTAGGACTTCAGTAGAGCCGAATTGGAATTCTCATCTAAACTCAGGCTTTGAATTGGACTTCCTTTCCATGTGTGAAAGACCAGCTTGTTGTTTCTTCTCAGTAGCGAGCCCAGAAGAGGGGTGTGAAATCAATAGAAATCGAGAGCAAATGCAATTTCAGTTCTATTTATATGTTTTAAGCTGCAAGGCTTTAAGTTTAAGTAGGATTGTGAGTGGATGTGAATGGTCATTGTTGTTCGGAATTAGTTCCTGTCAAAGAAAGACTTTAAGTGGAACTTCAGCAGACATGTCTGAGGAAAGACAAGTTGTTTCTTTCTCTTAATCTGCTGTTCCGCCCCTTGCAAGCAGTGAACACCCGCTATGCACCCAAGTAAAGTACAATTCCAGCCTATGGGTTTTGATTTGTTTAATTGCAACACGTTTGGTGAAGCTATGTTCCAACCGATGCCGTTTTGTTTATTTGAGCGGAGAGGGAGTTTTGATTATTTTCTGGGCCTGCGGCCTCTGGCCGGCACCGCCTCTTTGAAGTTATACCATGTCATGTCATGTTTTTGTATGAGAAGCGAATCCTGTGCTATGATATGGCTGGACATGTTGCCCACCCCAACCCCAGATAATGCCGGGGATGCCAGCTTTCTGGCCCCAACCCAGAAGGCTGACATGGGGTCGCACGCGAGCGCGCGCCAGAGGCCCCAGCCCAAAAAGAAGCCCGCAAGCCAGCCCGGAAACGCAACTGCAGCAAAACACTGTAAATAGCAGCGTTTTGTGGCTGGGGTCGCGACGACCCCATGTGAGCCTTCTGGGTTGGGACCTGGCTGGGGCCCAGAAAGCTGGCATCCCCGGCATTATCTGGGGTTGGGGTGGGCAACATGCAAAACCTACCAGCCATAACATAGCACAGAATACGTTTCTCATACAAAAAACATGACATGACATGGTGTAACTTCAAAGAGGCGTAGCCGGCTAGAGACCGCAGGCCCAGAAATCTCTGGAGGATTTTTTCTGCCAGGACGGTCTCTTTGATATTACGAGCAATAATTGGTGACCCCTTTATAGCAGAGGGCGCCAACGGAAACGGCCAAAGGGTCCTTGCCTGCAAGATTGTTGCGTCTTGACCACGCGGTGTCAACAATCTTTTTTGGCAGCTGCCTCCCAAAGACCCTGTTCGAATCGTAAAAGTGTTCGCCCGTGCACCAATTCCGAAGTTTTCTCCCGAAGACTTGCCAGAGCGGGAAAAGGACACGGAGTCATTGATTGGAAAGCTTGGCACGCTTGGCACGGAACATCTTCCCCTTTCCCCTGAGCGTTTGGCTTCAGGGGGCTTCTTCCACTGACGGTCACGCACCCAGTCCAGGTGCCTACTAAAAAATATAGTCGATGCGGGCAGCAACTTCCCGAACAGCCCATCTCTTCTCGGCTGAAGGTGAATGCGTCAAAGCAAACTGGCGGGTCTGAGCATCTTCTCTCTCTGTGTCCGCCAAGAGGCTTTTACCATGAGTCGCCTCAATTTTGCCACCAACAAAAGATGTCGCTCTGGTTTTTTGTGGGGTATGACTGCTTCGCGATCCTTTCCTCCAGTGCAGCGCTGTCGTATTCTGCATCAGAGACCTTACCAAAAAAGGAGGACCTATCCTCAGAGACCCGCCTATACTCAACCCGCTTTCAATGGTTCCAGCCATGTCTGTGCCATGGGACCATGTCCACTGGTATTTGGAGGGACCTTCACCTCTGACATTGAACTGCGGGCCAAATGTTCACATCATGAGCTGGCACCGTGAAAGATTTTGCTTTCACGAACAGCTCTAACGGAAACTGTGTGCACAGAACGGCCTTGGCAAGTGTTTGGATCAACCTGGGTTCCACAATGCACGAGGGTGATCCATTAGGAAACAGTGCGCGCAGCTGCTGGGAAACCACATTAGCTTGGTCTGCCGGGATGCGTTGAAACATTACTCTCTCTTCGCGGGAGAATTCTCTCCGGCCCTGTGTGGTACGTAGCTGGTGTATCGTTGGCATTGGGAACTTGAGCAACGAATTTGTCAAATTTTGCCTCAAAAGACCTGGTGGCACCTGCCCGCACGGATCGATTCCTGCAACCTCTACCTGCAACTGACACATGCTCTTCTGCGTGACATCTTCAAAATGTTGCCACTCAACATTGAGCTAACGGTAGGTCAGTGTCATGGACACCTGCTTGCTTGACGCAGATGCTACTTCCGGGTTGCTGACCCTGGCGTGCGCACAAGGTCTATCAGATTGCTGCAGAACACACTTGGTCCCTGCAGAAGTCAAAATTGGTCTGATGGGATACTTGCCACCAGTGGGTTCGTAAGCCACGTGCAGGCGGAGGGTAATTCGGTGGGGGTCCTAACGCAGGAGCCCTTGCAAGCACGAGCGGCCGGGGCGTGAATGTGCGTCGGAACAGGCGGACGAGGTGTGACTGCATGCGTTGGCTTGATTGCGGCCTTCTCTCCTGGTGGCCTTGACGGAGACAGAAAAAGTTTCCTGGACCAAGAAGCCGCTCTGCCTCCAACAATTTGCCGGGACTCTGCGTCGTCTGGATCGGGATCGATCGCAGCGACGGCCATGCCTACGCGGCGTTCTGGACCGATGATGTCGGCGTCGGCTACGGGACCTTTCTTGCCTAACTAAGTCAGGCTGTGTGCATCGGAGGTTTGAATTACCAGGTCGAATCGGAACAGCTGGCCGTGGCTGTTGCACCGCGCAGTTTTGCTGCACTGGTGTCCCTGGAAAAAATTGAAGGCGTACTGCGCAGCCATGAGCTAACTGGCTACTAGCTACATGCGCCCAGTCGAGCTGGAAGCTGCGGTAGTTTCATAGGGCATGCCTCAAGCCCAAGTGTGCCTCAACCAATCAAACTTCCAAATCAAACAGCCATCCAATGAACATCGAAAGGCCTTCCTGCTCATTGCGCCAGCCAGTTGCTTGCATGGGGCTCAAACCTTCACCACCCTTTGAACTTCCATCAGACGGCGCAAACATGGTCTGTGCACTATGACAGAAAGCACACCCGAACACACACTATGGAAAGCCCACACAAGAAGTATCAGGAAATATGAAACCTCAAACGATCAAACGCTCAGACTGGGATAGCCTCTCAAACTCTATTGATCATGGCCTCAGTGTGTTGACGGGGCAAAAAGCCTTTGGTTGGGGGGGGGCCGCCAGCTGCCACCATGTTTGCACCCAGGCACCGGGGGGCGGGGGTGTCTTTGTTGGCCGGACACCCCCGGGCCGGCTCCGGCCCCCTGCTGATTTCCGTTAGGAATTGAGTGTCCCTGACACACATGCACACACGGGGCACGCACACGCACACGCGCACGCACGCACGCACTCGCGCGCACACGCACGCACTCACGAACGCACACACGCGGCGCGCGCGCGCGCGCACGCACGCACGCTCGCGCGCGGGCGTGTGCGCACACGCACGCACGCATACGCACGCACGCGCACGCACGCACGCATGCCTGGGCCAGCTGCCATGCAAAAAGCATCGTTTTTCTTGGTTTTGTGCAGCAAAAACCTTCATTGTCACGGATTTTCCAAATCTGCGGCGCCCAAAGAGCGCCCCAGCATCACCTGCATCACCCGCATCACCGGGACAAGCCTGCGGGCCCACAAGCCCGAGGCTGCAGACCCGGAACCGGACCAAGAACAAGCCCAAAAACGCACCCGCCAGAAGCAGATGAGGCAGGTGATTCTCATCACTTTCCTTTTCACGGGCCCCCGGCCGCATCCTCGGCATGGACAGGGTCGGCGGCACCATGCGGCAGCCCCATAGACTTGCTCCAAAGGACCAAGCAAGTAATCTGACACAGCCGTTCGGCCAGTTGGCCGCGGCTGGATTTACACGCTGACGCGACACAGCCGGCCACCGGGCACCTTGCCCTGTTTTCAGGTTGCACGTTTTCGGCAAAGTTGGCCCGACTTCGGGGACAACATCCCCAGCATCCCCCGCATCACCTGCATCATCCGCATCAATGTCCGCCAAGGATGCGGATGATGCAGGTGATGCCGGGGATGTTGTCCACTTTGGGGCACCCCCCAAAAAACACTCTTTTTTGACTCTGCGGGGAGATGCTCAAAAAGCCGCCAAAAATCGCCTGAACAAATCCGCAAATCCTTCGCCACTTATAAGGGTGGGCCCAGCTTGGCGCAGCGCAAAAGTTCGGCACATGGTCGGCGGTGGGTCGGCGGCATGGGGCGGACGGCCTTATACCTGAAGGTAGGCCCTGCGGGCCTAGGCCTTCGGCGATGTCACGGACCACGGGGTCAGGGGCCCCCGGTGGCCGGATTGAAGGGTTGCCGCCCTGCGCCGCCGACCCCAGCTTCCTTAGAACAATCATGACTACGCAATTTCTCGTCGGGTTTAACGGCACGCTTCAAGCATACATGAAAAAGAAGAGCATGCTTTTGATGCAAGAAGTGCCCTAGGAGAACCATGTTGGGGGAGCCCTAACACCCCGACAAAGGGCATCAGGGAGAATGTTGCACAAGGGGAGATTGCACACGTAATGCACACCAAGTTTCTCCGTGGGGCGTGGGCGGCAAAACCACACCCGGCCGAATGCGCTATTGGTTTCCCCAAAAGGGACCGGTAGAGCTCCGCACATTCGCGCCTGCGAGCTGCCACGGAGAGCCAGCGAGAAATTCAACAAACAGACAGAGATGACACCGAAGAGCCAAG